GAACCAGCACTGTTACCTGTGGTCGGGCTGACAGGTACATGGACCAGCCGGCCTCTGCACAGGTCATCGTCAAGTGTTGGGTGAGAGTAACACGAGCTGAGTATAGCAAATTTAGCTTCAGGCGAGGGTAAGAGGCGCCTGATATAGAGGCTAAAATAATTATGTAAATGTGTGAAGTGGCGGAGGAAGAGGACTGGTGGGTGGCGCCGTCTCTCATCCCCTTTAAGAGATCCAGTCATCCTGGGGTTGAACCTCGCTGGTCTGACAACCCCACAGACGCCGTCAGGGTGAGGGAGCCCCCAGACTCTGGAGACCTGGTGTTTGTTATCACCACACAGACGCCGTCAGGGTGAGGGAGCCCCCAGACTCTGGAGACCTGGTGTTTGTTATCACCACACAGACGCCGTCAGGGTGAGGGAGCCCCAGACTCGGGGGACCTGGTGTTCGTCGCGACGTGGTGTGTGTGAGGTATGTGTAAACATTGCTTCATGAATCCGACTGGAAATTTAGTGTTATCACAGCACACAGTTGTGAAACCCTGCCAGTCTGCTAATCAGCTGTAAGTATTGCCTGGTCTTGTATTGTTTCACGATAAAGGCTGTGATATACAGCATATTACGATGATCTCAGCCGAGGATTCTGTGTGTAGCATTCACATTGTCATAAAGTTCAAGATATGTATTATGTGAGCTGGCCCAGTAAACTTGGCCTGTTTCAGTGACCCCATGGCGCCACATTGTCTCACCCACCCACCCAACTTTCACCCGTCGTCATACCCATATCCGTCCTCTGCTGCCTCCCTGCTGCCCTTCCGCCCATCGTTGGCCTGATGTAGATTCAGGTTATCACGCATAATGAGCCCCACTCTGTGTGTCGTAAAGAGAGAACTATGGCGTCTCCTTGATCCTCAGAGGGAGCTTTTCCACAAAGTTTTATAGTAGATGCAGCTAAACTTTACCCCAGACACAAGGAATACTGACCAACGCCTGGCTACTCCAAGCTCTCGTGAAATAATTTTAATGATTTGAACACAAAGCTGGAATACTGAGGGAGGAGAACAGGGGACCTAGAGATACAGGACAGAGAAATAATGGTCCGAATATATCATCTGATTTGAGACAGTCTGCCGTCAGTTAGTGTACATGCATGAACACCCTGGAGAGAAGTGGCAACAGTTCCCACAACCAATAAACTGCCAACATCCTGCACGAGAACTTGAGCTCTTCTACATCAACTTGAGGAGTACCAACAGCTATGAGATATCGTCGCAGAATTCCTGCAGAGTGAGAAGTTGTCTTTCCTTGGTCCTAAGAATTTACAAGGTACCAACAGCTTTATGAGGGAGGACTTGTTCCCAGTTGCAGTAGTCGCCCGCCTGCAGCAGTGGACGGGTACAGATAACCCAGGAGACAAGGGGAATGTACGCTTTTCTCAAGTTCTCGTATATTTGTCAAAATGTAGATCATTGTCCGTACAACTCTCTTTTGTGCAGTAACCAGAGATTGTGTTTTTGAAGAGCCAGAGGCCCCCCATAGTGCATCAGGTGTTGGTGTTGGTAAACAGGATCATGATAGATTTCTTTCATTGCTGTGAGAGTGAGTGACTGTCGAGTGTGATACATGATACCGCACTGTTTATTGACTTTACTGTGTATGGCTTGTATGTGGTTTCTCCAGTTAAGTTTCTCATCAACAATAACTCCGAGGAATTTAATATTTTGTTCGCGTTTGAGGACTATATTATGTTACGAGTTGGGGATTTAGAATATAGTTAAAAGTCTACCCAGATCCCAACAGGCAACAACAAAAAACAAAACAAAGACAAACGGACTATAAAAGGGTAGACAAAGGATGTGAGTTTGTGTTGTGTATAATAAAGTACCATAAATTCCTTAACAAAATATTCAGCTATCGATAATTTACCCTTAACCATACTTAACCTAAACATTAACAGTATACACATATTTATACAACATACAATAATTTGAAGCAAGTGGACGTGGGGGAAACAATATAAAATTACAAATACTTAAGTGCGGAGCTGAGATGGCTGACGAGCAAGGCTGAATATTGTAGAAGACGGTAGGTAGTCACTGTCCCGTAGGTTTCCAGGATAGGTGATACTGTGGTCACTTCCCAGAGTGAAGTGCTCTCTGCTCGAATTGGAGCTGACAAATAAGACTTTGAGGAGGTGACGCAACAACCAGGATATGGAGAAGGGAAACCCGGGAGTGGTAACTAAGACGAGTCATACTCGTGTTTCGTCCCTAGATGGCGTTGCTCGTGGTGCTGGGTAGGTAGATCAAGACAATAGATGGCGTGGTTCGTAGTGCTGGGTAGGTAGATCATGACAATTGGTGGCGGGGTTCGTAACAATTACCAAGTCTGGAGGTAAGTTTTTTCTTCTGTTAAAGATCGTGTAGTGGGTTTTCTCAAGATTTAGGGTCATATTATTACGTATTACCCAGGTCCCGATTTGAGTTAATTCAGTGTTCATAGTTCTTATCGAGGAATGGAGGTCTGAGTTGCTGGCATAGAGATTACTATCGTCTGCAAATAAGTTGTATTCTATGAGTGGGCTGGCGTGGACTATGTCGTTTATGTACAACAAAAACAGTACTGGACCGAGAATTGAACCTTGGGGGACTACATACAAGATAGGCGAGGAGTCAGATTGGTGGTTATTATAGCAGACATACTGCATCTGTTGGACAGATATGAGGTAAACCAATTGTGGGACAGGCCCCTAACGCCGTAATGTTCAAGCTTTGAAAGGAGGATGGTTTGGTCGACAGTATCGAAGGCTTTAGAGAGGTCCAAGAATATACCGACTGTGAACTGACTGTCATCAAAGGAATTTAAGATGTCATTAGTAAAGGATAGCAGCGCACTCTCAGACGACCTTCTAGCTCTAAATCCAAACTGGGAGTTCATTGTGTTAAATTCTCTCACGCTAATCTGTAGACCCATGACTCTTGCATAGATGATTTCAGTATCAGATTTTTTTTGTCGTCCACTTTGATATATTTCCCACCAGATGCCATCGTTGTGGCTGATTTATGCAGTGTCTCGTGGAAGCTATTAGGCCATTGTTGCTCTCATTGTTCCACCGGTTCTTGCACACTTCATAAGCATCATCAACATTGACTGATTTTTTTCTGATTATTTGTCAAGTTACAATATTCACTAAATCAGTATGTTTATTCTCATTCAATGGGTCGATGCAAACTTCTAATTTTTCACGGAGGTTCTTTCCATCAGTTTCACCAACTTTCATTCTGGATTTCCCTTCTTCTTCATGATAAAGTTGTGTCACTTCATCAGTTTTGTTTCTCGTGGAGTCCAGTCTGCTGAGTAGAGTGTTACACTCATGGAGACTGTACGCCCAAGTCTTGACGGCTTCAGGTTTGAGGGTGACACCAATGATGCCCGAGTGACCATGACCATAGTGCATGAAGGTAGTCTCTCTGGTCAGGTACCTCCATATCCCATCATCGATGCCGGCATTGTGGCCCATGAGATGTACACGGACATCTGGCATCTGCTCCATAGATCGTAGTACAGGCCATATCTTACATGGCACATCTTTAATAATTGCTATCATTAAAATTACCCAAGGGTGAGAACTCCACACCACCTGGAACTGTTCACCGTGACCCCATAGAAGAAGAATCCAAAAAGAAAAAACTATATCAGATTGGCCCTTCTCACTCCCGGACTATAAAATTATTTTCACTTGTTTATCCTCATGATTACTAACACGAGTCGCTCAGATAATGATCCACACAGCTTGCCTCAAAACTCTCAAGGCTAAGAGGGTCTTATTTGTAACTATAAACTTTTCTCAAATCTCCTGAGAGCTCGGCTGGTTCTCTACCTTAGAATTGTTCATTTGCAATTAGAAACTTTTCCTAGATTAGTGTTTAAAATCCACTCTGGTATAATTCAACGTAATTGGAATTTTTGGAGAGTTTACTCACCTGTGACACTGGACACTTATAAGATTGAACAACTTTACCAAACTATCCAGGAGAATGAACCTCCCTATAACGCACTTCTCTCTCTGTAAAATCTGTTAGATGGGGGTTTCAAATTTAACGGACCTTCGATATAATAGACCTTCATCTCCATGTAGTCCGTTAAATGGAAGTTTTACTGTAATTTATTTCGCATAATATGGTGATTACACTTCATAATTATTGATAAATATAATAGGTATTGTAAAAGTCGACTAGAATCTCATACAGTACAGGGAATACTGGGAACACTTTGGATATCAATAAATTGACCATAAAGAGGAAATTTCAACACTAATGTACAAATAATAACGTTTAGGTTAATGACACACAGATAATGGCTCCTCATTGTTTAGCATTTCAATAACTATTTCGGAGGTCTTTTAATCTGAATATATACAAATGTTTACACACACACACACACACACACACACACACACACACACACACACACACACACACACACATACACGCACACACACCAGGTTAAGTTCTGGACACATAAATAACATCAGCCAGACTTTACGTCACCCTAAAGTTGAGACGCGACTGTGAGTGTAGGTCACCCTTGGCTTTTAACACGAAAGACTTCCCCACGCGTTTGATTCTCCCTCCTCTGGCTGTGACTTACCCCCCCCCCTTCTTTCTCTCTCTCTCTCTATGTCTGTCTGTCTGTCGTTCAAGTGAATCTCAATACAGTTTCAACAATGTTTTGATTACACACTCTTCATGTGACATGTTATGGTACGAGTAAAATGTGTGTTGCCTTCCCAGTTTGATGAGAAGCTCAACATGATACTCCTAAACTGTCTTGGAGATTGGATGGTAAAGAAACCTAACCAACAAAACAAAAGAAAATAGAACAGAACAGAACAAAACAGGAAGAATAAATAAAAGTGTTAATGAAAAAAAAAAAAGAGGCCCAGACCATATTGAGTTAAATAAAGTGAGGAGATAAAGTTAATGTTCAAGATAAGAAGGAATATTAATACGATTTTGTTGGTGTTTTTGATAGTGTTAACACCCTACTGTAGTGAAGATCCAGGTGGTGACGGAACACTGTTGGTGACGGAATGCTGTTGGTGACGGAATGCTGTTGGTGACGGAACACTGTTGGTGACGGAACACTGTTGGTGACGGAACACTGCTGGTGACGGAACACTGTTGGTGACGGAACACTGTTGGTGACGGAACACTGTTGGTGACGGAACACTTGCTGACGGAACACTCCTGCTGACGGGCTGACGGAACACTCCTGAACACTACTGACGGAACACTGTGGCGACGGAACACTGCTGGTGACAGAACACTGCTGGTGACGGAACACTGTTGAGGAACACTGAACACTGGTGGTGACGGAACACTGCTGGTGAACACTGACGGTACACTGCTGGTGACTTAACACTGTTGTGAAGAACACTGCTGGTGAACACTGTTGGTGACAGAACACTGTTGGTGATGGAACACTGCTGGTGACGGAACACTGCTGGTGACGGAACACTGCTGAAGTGACAGAACACTGTTGGTGACGGAACACTGCTGTGACAGAACACTGTTGGTGACGGAACACTGTTGGTGACGGAACACTGTTGGTGACGGAACACTGCTGGTGACGGAACACTGTTGGTGACGGAACACTGTTGGTGACGGAACACTGCTGGTGACGGAACACTGCTGGTGACGGAACACTGTTGGTGACGGAACACTCCTGCTGACGGAACACTCCTGCTGACGGAACACTCCTGCTGACGGAACACTCCTGCTGACGGAACACTACTGGCGACGGAACACTGCTGGCGACGGAACACTGCTGGTGACGGAACACTGGTGGTGACGGAACACTGGTGGTGATGGAACACTGCTGGTGATGGATCACTGGTGGTGACGGTACACTGCTGGTGACGGTGCACTGCTGGTGACTTAACACTGTTGGTGACGGAACACTGTTGGTGACGGAACACTGCTGGTGACGGAACACTGTTGGTGACGGAACACTGTTGGTGACGGAACACTGCTGGTGACGGAACACTGCTGGTGACGGAACACTGTTGGTGACGGAACACTCCTGCTGACGGAACACTCCTGCTGACGGAACACTCCTGCTGACGGAACACTCCTGCTGACGGAACACTACTGGCGACGGAACACTGCTGGCGACGGAACACTGCTGGTGACGGAACACTGCTGGTGACGGAACACTGGTGGTGATGGAACACTGCTGGTGATGGATCACTGGTGGTGACGGAACACTGCTGGTGATGGATCACTGGTGGTGACGGTACACTGCTGGTGACTTAACACTGGTTGTGAAGGAACACTGCTGGTGACGGGACACTGTTGGGGAAACACTAACTTAGGATTTACAGATGAATGAACATGAAGAGTCACTAGAGGAGAGAGAGAGAGAGAGAGAGTGTATGTGCTATTTCAAGTTCACCTAATGTGTGTGTTTGTGTGTATGAGAGTGAGAGAGGTCGTATGGTATAACATTAATAAGTGGATACAATGCAAAAAAAACTCGTTACTTCCTTCACGATCATAAGGCGATGATGGTCACTAAATGTTCCTTAATGTATACTAGATCAACATTTAACTAAGCATGTTGATCAATAACATTAGCAATAAAATAAATAACACTAATAGTATATGCCGAAAGAAAACAGAAACGGGCTGTGTGTGTGTGGTGAAATGGTCAGCATGCTCGCCTCGCAAGTCAGTGGTTCCAGGTTCGATCCTCGGGCAGGGTAAATCTATGGACAACTTTCTTTACGCTATTTGCCTCTGTCTACCCAGCAGTAATTGGGAACCTGGATATTAATCAGGTTGCGGATCGTGTTCTTGGGTAATGGTTAGCCAGTGCAGTTGGCGAGTTGTCCGGTCTTCTCGGACTATTCCTTGACACTGGATCATACAGCTCGTTAACTTAGGGTGTGGTTGTTGTATTGGCGACAGCTTCTACACCTTAAACAAATTCACGCCAAGGTGGCCGGCCATCCTCGAACAAGAGGGGCAATCATTATTATTATTATTATTATTATTATTATTATTATTATTATAGTGTGTATGTGTGTGTGTATGTATAATGTGTATGTTTGTGCGTGTATTTGTTTATTAGGAATATATCTCACAATAAGAGAATTAAAGAAAGCAGAGTACGTGAAAAAGAATCCTTGTGTTATAGTAGAGAGGCGGATGGACGCGCACCTCGGCACAATTGGTGAGGGCTGTTGGCTACCCAGTGAAGCTCAAGAACCTTCCAGGCTACACAAGTTACGATGGTCTCTCTCTCTCTCTCACTCTCTCTCTCTCTCTCTCTCAGTGAAGCTCAAGAACCGTCCCAACCACACAAGCTACGATGTTCCTCCATATATTTACTCAATGCGGTGCTGGGTGACTGCACTGCTCTCTCTCTCTCTCTCTCTCTCTCTCTCTCTCTCTCTCTCTCTCACACACACACAGTTAGAAGGTCACCCAAACAGTTTTTTAAATGAGTATTATGGATACAGTTCACATTCTCAAGCTAACTGTCGTCCACTTAATTCGGTATTAAAAGCTCCCACTCTGTACTGTTCATCGGTTGTAATTCTTGTAGTTTATAACCCGGATTAGACTTAAACCCCGGATTAGACTTATAACCCCCCGGATGAGACTTATAACCCCGGATGAGACTTATAACTCCGGATTAGACTTATAACCCCAGAGTGCTAAGAGAGTTGTGCAACGAGCTTGTCGAGCCCCTGAAGACACTGTTCAGTAAATGCCTGGATGATCAAAAGGTCCCCAGTGATTGGAAAATGGCTTATGTAAGTCCTATCTTCAAGAAGGGCATTGTCACTCCACGAACACCTGTAGACCGGTGAGCCTGACCAACATAGTATGTAAAGTACTTGAGAGCATTATCGGATATGCCGCGATGGAACATCTACTACGAAACAACCTGTAAAGGATTGCCAACACGGTTTTGTGCCGGGACGCTCCTGTTTAACTCAATTGCTCAAGGTATTGGATATTTGGACCCATATTCTGGAACGGGGTGGTAATATAGACAACATATACCTTGATTTTGCCAAGGCTTTCGACAGTGTACCCCCACGAAAGGCTGAAAATCAAACTGGAAGGGTACGGAATTCGAGGAAATGTCCTAGCGTGGATAGAAGACCTTCTACATGACAGCAAGCAGTGGGTGGTGGTTAATAGTACAAAATCATCATCTGTACCTGTCACAAGCGGGGTACCACAGGGCAGTGCATTGGGCTCGCTGTTGTTTGTTTGTTTCATAAATGACATGCCTGACGCTGTACACTCCTCCATACAAATGTTTGTGGTTGATGCCAAGCTATTTTGGGAAATAAAAAACCAAGCGGACTGTAAAGAGCTGCAGAAGGATCTCTGTGAGCTCCAAGAATGGTCCAAGAAATGGCTGCTAAGATTCAATGTCACGAAGAGTAAGAGGATGCACCTGGGGCGTACCAACGGTAAGGAGGCGTATCATATGTCCCAACGGGACGAAGAAACTGCACTATTTGAGACTGAATGTAAGAAGGACTTAGGTGTGAATGTTGACAATGAGCTGAAGTTCTCGGGCCATTGCGAGAAGAAGGTAAATCAGTGAAGTGAAGTTTCCCCACCTGGAGTACTGTCACCCCGTCTGGTCCCCGAATGTGAGCTCTTTCACTACCAGACTTGACCAACACTGGAGCAGATTCAGGTACATTCAGGAGCCGGTGCATGCCCAGTGCGTAACAGAGACGTGACCGATCGCCCAAGGGGCTAACGAGCCGATCAGTGGTGAAGAGGATAAAAATAAGTTAAAAAGATATTTATAACCCCGGATGAGACTTATAACCCTGCATTGGACTTTTAACCCCGGATTAGACTTATATCCCCCGGATGAAACACTCTGCAGCACCCTGCCACAGAGTGTATTTTCGGATCACAGGATGATTGATTATTTCTTAACTTATTTAACCTAATGATTAAATTCCCTTATACTAACCTAACATATCCTAACCTAACCTAACCATCATATAAAATAAGCTGGGGTGACTAATCTTCAGTTAATAATATCTCCCCTGAAAATTAATAAAATTCTCTTCAGTTCTTCTCGTTAACAGGCGAGACTAAAATCACTTAAGTTGTTTTGTTTTTAGACGAACACGACATAATGTACTGGTCTAGAGAGAGAGAGAGAGAGAGAGAGAGAAAGAGAACGTAAGAACGGAGTAAACTGCAGCGGGTCATACTGGGCAGCACCGTTTACACCCAACCCCTATAGCTCATATATCTATCCAGCCTATATGTTTGAAGCTATCCAGGGTATTCGAGTTAATGATGAAGCTTGGTAGTTGGTTCACTCATCCATTACTATATTTCCAAACCAATGTTTACCTATATCAGGTTAAGAGAGAGAGAGAGAGAGAGAGAGAGAGAGAGAGAGAGAGGCTCCTGATTTATCTCAGCCAGGTGTCTATTATAGGTAGACAGTAGTTTAATTACCCAACCATGAGGTGTTAATCAAGCAAAACCTGTGTTAACGGATCACATGGCGATATGGATTTCCACCTGATTATTAAGACATAACGTTACCCTAACCCAACCCAACCTAACCTAACCTGATCCCCCTCCCCAGAGATCTGTAGCTAATCTTCAGGTGACTATAATTAACCCGCAAACCAAAAACCAAATTTGTTAACTCCTTCCCTCCTCCTGGTTTGAAAGCGCTGTGAGTCTTTGGATATTTTTTCCGACGAACACAAGCGCAAGTTCGCCGCCAGTGTTGCTTGTCCATATTGAAATGTAATGAGAGAGCTGCTTAGTATGCATGAATTTATGAGACTTATGTCCCTTGGGAGTCCTGTTCGGTGACTCAAGGGAACTGGCATATTGATCAGTGTTTACAAGAGCACACCGCAACATTCTCTCTCTCTCTCTCTCTCTCTCTGGTTTTATACACCACATAATATTGTATAGTTAGTGTTATATATATATATATATATATATATATATATATATATATATATACACATATATATATATATATATATATATACATATATATATATATATATATATATATATATATATATATATATATATATACATATATATATATATATATATATATATATATATATATATATATATATATATATATATATATATATATATATATATATATATATATATATATATATATATATATATATATATATATATATATTTCATGTAGATCCACAATGAAAACGTGGATAAGATAAATCTTGATAAAATCACACAGGTAAAAGGAAAACAACTTAGGGGTTGGGTGTAAACGGGACTGCCCAGTATGGGCCAATAGGCCCGCTGCAGTTTCCTCCATTCTTATGTTTTTATGTAACCTGCTCACTTTTTATGGTAAACTTTTGCTATTAAATTTTATTACATTTTTTGTAATGTGTATAATTCCAAACCTTCACTCCTGAACTGCTGGGATAAAGTAAGAGGCTGTGAACCCATGACTCACAATTTCGTCGTTATTTGTGTTTGTAACCTTTGCCTTTACCATTGTTGTCGTGTATTGAAGTAACATTAATTTTAAGTATTAAGGACTAAGTTGTGCTGAGTTGCCATATGTGGTCTCATTATTATATTCATCTTTAACGTAATTCAAGTTGTTAAGTAAGGCTCTATTCACACTTTAGGGACGGACACGGTCCAGTCACTCCCCATTCACGGATGTCACGGTCGCCATTTGTTACGAGTTGGGGATTTAGAATATAGTTAAAAGTCTACCCAGATCCCAACAGGCAACAACAACAAAAAAACAAAGACAATCGGACTATAAAAGGGTAGACAAAGGATGCGAGTTTTGTTGTGTATAATAAAGTAGCATAAATTCCTTAACAAAATATTCAGCTTTCTATAATTTACCCTTAACCAAACTTAACCTAAACATTAACAGTATATACATATTTATACAACATACAATAATTTGAAGCAAGTGGACGTGGGGGAGGCAATACAAGATTACAAATACTTAAGTGCGGAGCTGAGATGGCTGACGAGCAAGGCTGAGTATTGTAGAAGACGGTAGGTAGTCACTGTGCCGTAGGTTTCCAGGATAGGTGATCCTGTGGTCACTTCCCAGAGTGAACTGCCCTCTCATCGAACTGGAGTTGATGAAGAAGACTTGTAGGAGGTGACGCAACAACCAGGATATGGAGAAGGGAAACCCCGGAGTGGTAACTAAGACGAGTCATACTCGTGTTTCGTCCCTAGATGGCGTTGCTCGTGGTGCTGGGTAGGTAGATCAGGACAATAGATGGCGTGGTTCGTAGTGCTGGGTAGGTAGATCATGATAATTGGTGGCGGGGTTCGTAACACGGACCAATCAAGTTCCGCTTATGCTCAAGTGACGATCCTTTGAAAGATATTTTGACTGCAGCGGGACTGTACCGTGAGCTTCCCTTCTCGTGCCAGTGTGGATTGAACACTTGCTCGCTCCAGTCGTGCTTCAACCGTCACTGAGTTTGGTAGTGTATTCTTTGGTTCGGTTTTGTGAAGAGGAAATCTTGCAAGTTGGACTGTGGAAAATTAGATTTATTTAAATAAAAAAAAAATTACTTGTATTTAGTACATCTTAAACAAGATATAGCCTTTACAAATTAGTATTACACAAACGATTTCATCTCTTCTTTTCAGATGAATTGTTAATTAAATTAGTGAAAACCAAGGCGGAGTTGTATGACTCGAGTGCTCCACGATATAGGGATAACGTGGCTAAACGAAGAAGCTGGGAGGAAATAGGCAGTCAGCATTCCACATTGACTTAATCAGCACTCAATAATTTTTTTTCTCTGAAGAAATATTACAAACGTGTAAAAGTATTGGGTAAATAGAAGACAAACCTGTATACTTTTTTCTTATCTCGCTTCCCAACCTTGCTGTTTCAGTGATTGGCCTTATACCCAAATTCAATAATTCAATTCAGTTCATTTCAATTTGTATCTTACCTAAGACATACTGCCAGCTTTCCTCTTGGAGTGATGACTTCTCTAAAGGTTGTGTTTTCCTTACGTCTTTCCTCTTCAATTTTTGACAAAATCATCTCAAAAGAGCCAATGTTCATTCGAAAGTACTGAAAGAATTTACTTTCATCACCAATCAAATGAGGATAGAGTGTATGTAATTCCACCTCACCCTTCTTGTCTTGCAACATCGGATGAACCCAGAATCTCTTCCTTTTCCGATTTTGTTTTTTTAATTCTTCCTCCTCGTCTAATGCAATTACGATCATTGCCAACTCTGATGAAGGGAAATTGCACATCTTCACACGAGACGGCCCCTGACCGGAGCAAGATCGTCCCATGGCTGGACCGTGACCGTCCCTATAGTGTGAATAGAGCCTTATGGTATAACAATGTTCTATTTTCATACGTTCTGTACTTTCTCCCACTACCACACTTAACACAAGCTGAGTGGTACTTTCTCCCACTACCACACTTAACACAAGCTGGGTGGTACTTTCTCCCACTCACCACAGTTAACACAAGCTGGGTGGTACTTTCTCCCACTACCACACTTAACACAAGCTGGGTGGTACTTTCTCCCACTACCACACTTAACACAAGCTGGGTGGTACTTTCCCCCACTCACCACAGTTAACACAAGCTGGGTGGTACTTTCTCCTACTACCACACTTAACACAAGCTGGGTGGTACTTTCTCCCACTACCACACTTAACACAAGCTGGGTGGTACTTTCTCCCACTACCACACTTAACACAAGCTGGGTGGTACTTTCTCCCACTACCACACTTAACACAAGCTGGGTGGTACTTTCTCCCACTCACCACACTTAATATAAGCTGGGTGGTACTTTCTCCCACTCACCACAGTTAACACAAGCTGAGTGTTACTTTCTCCCACTCACCACAGTTAACACAAGCTGGGTGGTACTTTCTCCCACTCACCACAGTTAACACAAGCTGAGTGTTACTTTCTCTCACTCACCACAGTTAACACAAGCTGGGTGGTACTTTCTCCCACTCACCACAGTTAACACAAGCTGGGTGATACTTTCTCCCACTCACCACAGTTAACACAAGCTGACTGGTAGTGTTATTGTTTTGCTCTCAACTTTAATAACAGTTTCTGCATATATCATGAGCTTGAGGCGTCGACTACAATAACATTAACCAAACTGCCTAAAGTTGTTGCAGCTGTTGATTTTAATTGTCTGAAGTCTTAGTCAAGGTCGTCTTCAAGCACCAAAACATACTCTCGGTTATGTCTTCGTCTATCGTCGTCAAATGGTTCAAATAATGATCATTAATTCTATGCCTTTCTCCCTCTATCGTCATCAAAGAGTTTAAATAATGATCATTAATTCTATGTCTATGTCTTCAACTATCGTCGTCAAAGGGTTAAATAATGATCACTAATTCTAATGTGTCAACAAGGGAAGTGAACCTTGCCTGACAGACACTCGTGTTATGGGTAAAAGAGTTAAATTTATTCTGAGGCGGAAGTCGCTGGTAATGGAAACTGCTTTTGTTTAGATGTAAATGTGCTTTTATTAGTGTGTATGAACGTTTACGAATGATATATATGATTATACACTCAAACATACACACTCATACACATATATACTGTATACACTCGCACATACACAGTCATTCAAACACACACACGCACACACACACACACACACACACACACACACACACACACACACACAAATGGATACACGGTCATACAGAACATATATACACACACTCGCTCATACAGAGAGATGACATCACAGTGACAGTGCCTGCGAGTAGTGCCAGAGAGATTCACGTGTACCTTGGTTGCTTAATTTGTTCCAGTGAAGTTATGCTCTTGTGGTTCACCTCACGTAAACACAAGTTAGAGAGACCTGCTGTGTTATAGGGAGGGTGTGGAGGGAGGGTGTGGTAGGTGTGGAGGGAGGGTGTGGTAGGTGTGGAGGGAGGGTGTGGTAGGTGTGGAGAGGACTGTTGTTGTGTTGTAGGGAGGGTGTGGTAGATGTGGAGAGGATAGATGCTGTGTTATAGGGAGGGTGTGGTAGGTATGGAGAGGGTCTCGGAAGGTTGTTCGCCGTTCAAAAATCACATTAGACGGCGCCACTTGTGTCTAAAATGCTCTGGAAAAACCTGAACGAGTGCTACCCCGAGTTTGGCCGCAATGAAGATGTAAACATTAGGTCGGTATCTTGATAAACAACGAGAGTTAGTGTGGGATCAATAAATACAGTTACTTGATATAAACACTGATGGACAAGACGTTTTACTGTGCCTCCTCAGATGAAGTAACTGGTTCCTAAGGCTGAAGGGGAACACAGAAGGCCTTGAGGGACTTTTCTCTGGTCTTATTATAAACAAAGGAAGTTTCCACATTAGAAGCATTATATTAATAGGGGGTGGGGGGGTCAGTCAGTAGAGCTAGTAGAGGAAGTCTACCTTAAGGTATAATATGATCAGCCTGAAGAGCTTCTATTAACCCGAGTGGAAAACCTGAGGACGAGAACGCCAAGGTGGTGTTTTGGGCGTGCGTGCAGAATATTTGATTAGTAGTGCATCCGAAAGACGGAACTGCTATACATTTATGATGTAGCTAAGGAACCTCGACATAACTTGAAGGATGACCTCTACGGCCACCATGCTTGAAGATGCTGTTACACGGCATCGTTCTCCTGTGGACACGGCCGGAGGTCATGACAGGACACGTCCAAAGAGCTTCACTTACGACTGACGTGATGGAAGCCTTTGCAGTGAACGATTTAGGTCAGCTCTACATAATTCGTGATGTACCAGTCATTTACCAAGCAAGGTTTAGGCTCACTGGAAGACCAAGATGAGTTGGGAATATTACCTGCCACGAGACACGTCCAGCAGCTGCAGGCATCACCTTCCTGGCAAAACTGTGACTACACACACCACCAGCAGATGTATCCGTCAGCCCTCAGCATGGAGGAAAGACTAAACTTCCTCATAAGTTATGTGGACAAAATGGCCCCGTGTTCCCGATCCGTGTGTAAAAATTATGATATGCTGCTGCAGATCAAAGTGCATTACAGGCAGATGTTCCTGGCACACCAACAAATTAAAATGCATCCCGTCGTGCGGCTGTAATGTGATCAACTGCTGGGAGGGATCCAGTACACTCCCCAGTTTGTTCCTCACATCTATTAATATTTACTATATATTTAGGCAGTATGAAATACCACAGAATGTAAACAAACTGTCATATTGGCATTTATCCTCAGTTTATATGTACAGTTTACTGCCCCAATGTTTGGTAAATAAACTCAGTATCATATTTTGATCGTTAATTTAACTTGGTAAATTCAGATTTCACAATCACATTAGTATTACAACACAGTAAGACAACTACACACACACACACACACACACACACACACAATACTACTACTACTTCTACTACTTCTACTACTTCGACTACTTTGCTATCACTGGGAATCGAGTATGACGATCATCCAGCTATAATACAATGATACGAGTTATTAATGATGTCACCTTCGTTAGTGAGCTCTGAGGTGATTCGAGAGGCCGTTACGGGACTGGCAGGGTCATCCACAGATGCTGCACGTGTAGAGGGCTACATCTAGTGCTGGAGGGGCGGCGGCAGCGTCTTCCCGGCGATGGCTCTTGTCTGCCTCGGTATACAGTCGGGCTCACTCCAAAGTATTGACACCTCGTGTGGTGCTCTCCAGAGCGTTACGGTGTGGAGTAATCTTCTCCCAGGTGAGGGGGTCGATTTGACACTTTCATAAGAACATAAGAATGGAGGAAACTGCAGCAGGCCTATTGGCCCATACTGGGCAGTCCCATTTACACCCAACCCTATCGCTCTATATGCTCCTACAGTTGGTGCCTGTGAGAATACTGGCATTTGTTCTCCTATCTTCCCAGCAAATCGGAGGATGGAACGTAGACTACGTTGGTGAAAGATTTCAAGCACCTTGAGGTGCCTTCTGTATGTGACCCATGTCTCACTGCCATATAGCAGGGTGGGGAGGACTACTGCCCGATATACGTGCAACTTTTCAGATAATTTCAGCTCCCTAAAACTGAAGACACGGTTTCGGAGTCTGCCAAAGGCTTGAGATGGACATCTGATCCGATGCTGAATCTCTTCATCGAGTCCGCGGTGGTGGACAGGTGGGAGCCGAGATACCGAAAGTGCGTAACATTAGAGAGGGTAGTACCGTTAAGCTAGATGGATGGTGGAGGTGTGGCTGAACCAGGGGCAGGTTGAAAGAGAATCTGAGTTTTATGTACTATGGTGGACAAAAGTCCCTTCGCTCAGCCCTCCCTCTCTTTCCCACTCTGGTCCCCATCCCCCGTCATACGCACTGCACAGTGCACCATTTGTTGGACGATTACAGTACTTCCCTCAGTTCCTTCGTTATTCGAACCTCAGGTGATTCACTAACATTGTGGCTGGCTGAGGGAAGGAACTTTTGTCCACCATAGCACTGTACTGTACATTAACCTCAAGGCCGAAGTGGGCATACGCATCTGAGTTGGTGTTCAGGATCTCCTGTAGGTCACGTTCAATGTGAGCGACAAGGCTGAGGTCTTCTGCATACTGAAGTTCAGTAATGGAAGCTGCGGACACCTGTGTTTCTGCCTGGAGTCGTCTTATGTTGAAGAGACCTTTCATCCGGTACTGGATGTCCGCTCCGCCAGTTAAATTGACACCTCCACCCCCCACCACACACACACACACACCAGATGTGATAGATTACAAGAGTCAACAAACAAACACCTCAATGCTTCCCACAAACACCACAACTGTTCCCACAAACACCTCAACGGCCTCACAAACACCAAAACTGCCTCACAAACACCACAACTGCCCCTACAAACACCACAACTGCCCCTACAAACACCACAACTGCCCCTACAAACACCACAACTGCCCCTAAAAACACTACAACTGCCTCCACAAACACCACAACCTGCCCTATGAACACCACAACTGCCCCTACAAACACTACAACTTCCCCACAAACACCACAACTGCCTCACAAACACAATAAGCCCCAAAACACCACAACTGC